ATTCTCATGATTGTGGTGTATTCTCATGATTGTGGTGTATTCTCATGATTGTGGTGTATTCTCGTGATTGTGGTGCATTCTCGTGATTGTGGTGTATTCTCGTGATGTGCCGTGGATTCTCATGATTGTGGTGTATTCTCATGATTTGTGGTGTATTCTCATGATGTGCGGTGTATTCTCATGATTTGTGGTGTATTCTCATGATGTGCGGTGTATTCTCATGATTTGTGGTGTATTCTCGTGATTTGTGGTGTATTCTCGTGATATGCAGTGGTTTTCTCTGTGACTGTGTCTGTAAGCGTGGGTTCAGGTGGGTCTCGTCTCTGCTGATTAGTGAGGTTTAACTCAGATGAGGGTGAGTGACTGAGAACGAGTCTTTAAAGCATCAGATCCAATTAAGAGCAGCTGTAAGGAAGCTCAGTTCAGCTCGAGCTGTCTGCGTGTCTCTGCTCAAAGCGTTGTTTTGATGGATCAGACATCACACAGGAGCACGGCATTTGCATTTCTCTGCTGAACACTAGAGATTCACAGAGAGTTTGAGTGCGGGTTAAAGCTGATTCAGTGCATTTGTGTTTGTCTGAAGTGCTGTTCATTCATTCTGATCATGATTTGATTTTGAGGCCTCAGTGCTTCTACTGCAGGTGTAACAGGATCATGAAGCCATCGTTCCTGTCGTGTGTTCATATCGCTGTCATCGTGTGTGTGTGTGTGTCACTGTCACTGAGTTTATGAAGCGGATTTATTGTTTTGTTTCTGTCATCTGATGGTCAATCAGCTGATCTACTGTAGAGCCCTGTAAAAGATCCCCGCTCACACATTTAGGTTATAAAAATGCTGTAGGAACATTGTTTTGAAATGTTTCTAAAGCATTTAAATGTCTAGTTTTCTTGCTGTGATTATAATGTTATTTAAAGATAACAAAAACTTTTCTTACAATATTCAACCAACATCCAAAATATAACGTTAATATTCTAAGAACAGTTTTCTTTCATGATTAGAATGTTATTAAAAAGGTTACAAAAAATGTTTCTTGGAACGTTCATAAAATACAAATAGCATCATGAGAACGTTCAGAGGATTTTGATCAAAGAATGTTTTCTCTAAACATTGTGAGAACGTGTATCAAATATTAATTAAGTAATAAGAATGTTCCATAAACATTACTTTAAAAAGTTTTGTCCTAACTTTTAAAAAATCATTAGTGAAAGTTGTGAGAACGTTGTTTTATTACTGAATATTAATTCTCATTTAAACCCCATAGATAGTAATATATTTCTGTCATAATGTCTTAGTTTAGTTAAACTGCTTTTATTTTGTTGGTTTGTAGTGAGTTCCTGTGTTTATATTTCAGTGACAGTCACAAACACGAGTCCAAATCGTATTTGAATTTGATTAATCGTACAAGCCTACTTTTGATTAATTAATCCAAAAATTGCCAAATTCAGTGACATTCTAGACTTACTAAACTTGAGCTCTTAAACTTCTTATTATTCTTCTTATTAAGCTTCTTATTTAGAAAGATCGGTAAAGGACTTGTTTATTAAGACCCTTCCAGAAAACATTATTTTTTTGTGATATGTAAATTTAAAAAAATCTTGTGTAATTTTAATCTACTGTGTCTCTCTATTATTGCATTAATACAGCTCTTATGTAACTGGTAGAAAACGTACAACACAGATCTTGAGAATCTATGATCTTCATCTGCTGACACGGCATTTACTTTTTTACTATCTGGCATAACATTTTTTACTATCTACCTTCCATGACATTCCACATTACAGCTATTTTACTGCAGATAATTAAAAGTGAAATAAAATGTCAAATGTCATAGGAAATCATATGGTGACGACTGTCTGAGTTTACATGATTATCTAACGGTGTGTGTGAGTGTAAAATGTGGCTCATGAGCTGCTGTTCACTAGTGAATATATGCACCCTGCAGCACAAAAGCAGTGTTAAGTCGCTGGGGGATATTTGTAGCAATAGCCAACAATACATTGTATGGGTCACAATTATACATTTCTCTTTTATGCCAAAAATCATTAGGATATTAAGTAAAGATCATGTTCCATGAAGATATTTAGTACATTTCCTACCGTAAATATATCAAAACTTAATGTTTGCGGCTCATGAGCTGCTGTTCACTAGTGAATATATGCACCCTGCAGCACAAAAGCAGTGTTGAGTCGCTGGGGGATATTTGTAGCAATAGCCAACAATACATTGTATGGGTCACAATTATACATTTCTCTTTTATGACAAAAATCATTAGGATATTAAGTAAAGATCATGTTCCATGAAGATATTTAGTACATTTCCTACCGTAAATATATCAAAACTTAATGTTTGATTAGTAATATGCATTGCTAAGAACTTCATTTGAACAACTTTAAAGATGATTTTCTCAATATTTAGATTTTTTTGCACCCTCAGATTCCAGATTTTCTAATAGTTGTATCTCAGCCAATTATTGTCCTATCCTAACAAACCACACATCAATGGAAAGCTCATTATTCTGCTTTCAGATGATATATAAATCTCAATTTTAAAAAATTGACCCTTATGACTGGTTTTGTGCTCCAGGGTCACATATAGTGAATGTACACTGTGTGTCTGACGTCACTGTAGTGTAACTCTGCTGATTTTTAACTCCAGGTCTGTGGTGAGGACTCTCCGTCCGTGTCTAATGAGTGTTTTCCTCTCTGTCGCGTTGATTCCTTGCTCCGTCGCTTGTTGATCTGATATGTAGATGTGTGTCTTCTCTTGCCAGCTGGTTTGTGTGGCCAAAGTAGCGTGAGTTATTTATTCAGCGGCGTGTGATGAAGAGCAGATGAACCAGCCGCTGCGTTCGGCCCTTTCCTAGTAAAATCTGACTTTGCGTGGCTCACAGAAACGAGGAGCTCGTCATTCGCTCTTTCATTTGTTTGTGCTGGTCGATATGATGTTAACCAGCTTCTATTTTATTAACACAAGCGTCGTTCTCTTCAAGAGGGGAACAAACATCCTTTACTGGCATTTTAATTACAGGGCAGCTCGTCAAGCGCTGCTTTAATTAATTAGAGTGTGTGTGTGTGTGTGTGTGTGTGTGTGTAACGTGTTGTGTGATAGCTGATATCAGTGTTCACTGCAAAAAATTATTCTCTTACTTAGTGTTTATGTCTTGTTTTATAGTATAAATATCAAAAAATAAAAAAATAAAATTGTTGGTTTTCCTTAAAACAAGCAAAAATATCTGCCAATGGGGCAAGAAAAATAATCTTGTTTAGCCTTTGCATTAAGATTATTTTTCTTACCCCATTGGTAGATATTTTTGCTTGTTTTAAGCAAAAACTTACAGTTTTGAATATTTTCAAAAAATATATTTCAAAAAAAATTTGCATTTTAAAAATACAAAAATGTAACACTAACAAAAAACTTTCTGCATTTTTACAATTGAGAAAAAAATCTTTAGGGAGCAATGCACTGAAATAGTTTTGCCTGAAACAGCAATTTTCAGTTTCGACTGAGATAGTTTTAGGGCCAAAATCATTGACTGAAAGAGTTTACTACAAGTTACAGCACCAAATAAACATGAATAAACATCAGAAAAATCTGAAAAACTAACTGAAATGAATCATGTAATCAATCAATCAATAAATCAGTGATTCAACCACAGAAAGACATCAATAAAACAGCTTGAGATCAATAATGTCACCTAACATCACATTTACCTCAGAAATCACAATCAATGTCCATAAACTAAAAAAGTTATTCTAGAGAGGAGCATTTTGATAAATATATGCACTATATTACATATTCATGATATTTTTACTTATCCTGTGGCTTGATATTTAATGTATGTTTGCATAAATCCTTCAAGAAAACAAGTTTTTATTAATGCCACTGTTTGAATGTTTATATTGCATCAACAAATTGGAGTACAAACCTAATTGTGTTATTAAAACCATGACGTAAAAATTAAAGTTTCTACATTATATTTAGTAGTAGCTTATCAGTGGTGACTATCTCAAGTTGATGTCCATATTGCAGAAATGTACAGTAAAACTCAAGCAGTTAGTTAATGACATGTAATCAAACAGACGGTGAACACTATTAACGGCAATGATTATATGTTGCGATTAAACTTATAGCAAAGTTTGGTAGTTTTGTATGTTGTTTGAGGGTTGGCACCATCTGCGGTCCTCTTCAGCCCAGAATTTTCATTTTGGTGCATCACTAGTTTTTTCAGGTTTAGTTCATGTCTTGGTACAAACACCAAGGTTTCTCACATGATCTTATTACATGCTGTGTGTGTGTGTGTGTGTTATGGCTGAAACTCATCTAGTAGCTCGCAGAAACACAAGAACCTGGGAGAAAATAAACGTGCTTCAGTCTTTCTCTACTTAAATGCGTAAGCATTAGGTCATGGGTTCGATTCCCAGCGAATGCATGAACCCAAAGATGTGTAGCTTGAATGCAGTGCGAGTCGCTGCGAATAAAAGCGTCTGCCAGATGCATGAATGTAAAGCGTGAGGTTTGACATGTTTTTCTCCCGTGCAGCAGGATCTGGCTCTGATCTGCAGTGATTTGTGGGTAATTTGTTGCACAAGGAAACTCATGCGTCCCTGAGAGCATGCGAGGTCAGAGGTCAGCGTGTAAATCAGTCCGTCCCATCGCTGAGCTCTTTCTCTTTCAGGATGAGGTTCATGTCAGCAGTTCTCTCAGTTTACCCATGATGCTCAGCGGCGCGATCGATCTCTGACGCATGTTCCGCTCGGCCAATTAAAGAGATCTGCTGATTAGGTGTGTGTGTGTGTGTGTGTGTGTGTTTCTGCAGGCCTCAGTTCAGAAGTGATCGAGCGGAGCGGCAGGACTCAAACATGCGGTCGCAGGCCTTGTTGCTGTATTTCACGGTGCTGCAGACGGCCGGAGCCGCTTTCCCAGAAGACACCGAGCCAATCAGTATTTCACACAGCAACTGTGAGTAACTGCGTCTCACCTCCTCGCTCCGTCTCGTCTTGTTCTCACAGCGGCTCTGGGAAATGTGATTCTGGTGGCCAGAGAAACTGTAAATGCTGTCAGAGTCGGCGAGACTTCAGAGATCCTCTTTTGTTTTGCCTGTCAGGATGAAAGACTTACACACAGACACACACACACACACACACACACACTCACACTCACACTCACACACAGACACTCACACACACACACACACACACACTCTCTCACTCACACACACACACACACACACACTCTCTCACTCACACACACACACACACACACACTCTCTCACTCACACACACACACACACACACACTCTCTCACTCACACACACACACACACACACACTCTCTCACTCACACACACACACACACACACACTCTCTCACTCACACACACACACACACACACACTCTCTCACTCACACACACACACACACACACACTCTCTCACTCACACACACACACACACACACACTCTCTCACTCACACACACACACACACACACACTCTCTCACTCACACACACACACACACACACACTCTCTCACTCACACACACACACACACACACACTCTCTCACTCACACACACACACACACACACACTCTCTCACTCACACACACACACACACACACACTCTCTCACTCACACACACACACACACACACACTCTCTCACTCACACACACACACACACACACACTCTCACACACACACACACACACACACAAACACAAACACACACACTCACACACACACTCACACTCTCAGACACACACTCACACACTCACACACACACTCACACTCTCAGACACACACTCACACACTCACACACAGACACACACACACTCTCACACACACACACACACTCTCTCACACAAACACACACACTCACACACACACTCACACTCTCAGACACACACTCACACACTCACACACAGACACACACACACTCTCACACACACACACACACTCTCTCACACAAACACACACACTCACACACACACTCACACTCTCAGACACACACTCACACACTCACACACAGACACACACACACTCTCACACACACACACACACTCTCTCACACAAACACACACACTCACACACACACTCACACTCTCAGACACACACTCACACACTCACACACAGACACACACACACTCTCACACACACACACACACTCACTCACACTCACACGCACACACACACGCACACACACACACAGTCTTACTGAAATGCCCCTGAAATGCACTGTTTCGTATTTCCTTTTAAAACAGCAAGTTCTTGTTTTGTATTCAAAAGGCTTTAATTTTTCTTTCTGTCATGAAACACGATTGGCTGTTTTGCTGTTATGTTCTCACTCTAGTGCAGAGTTTCCCAAGTTGATAAAAAGCTGATAATGAATTAAGGCCAGACACTACAGGCAAAACCAGCGTGTTTTCATGCACTGGTCGGTTTTGCTTCCTTGTCATGTCTCTTCTTTCAGACTAGTGGAAAGAAAACATCCAAAACACACATTTAAGTGTTTATTTTATTGCACTTTATCTCATTTGCATCTTTCATATCTGCAAAGAGTTCTTTCTCTTACAAACAACAAACTTTACAGTTTTATTCCTCTCTGTATTCTGAAAGTTTGTTCATATTTCATTCACACTGATTTATACAACATTTCCCTCCTAACAACATGGTGTAAATGTGTTTGTTTTCTGTCTGTTGACAGTATTTTCTGATTCATGGAGTGATAAATCAAAGTAGAATTATGGACTTTATCCAAAGTTCAGATTTATTGTCTTGAAATGCATGCAAATTAGTACATATTTAAACATAACATCTCAGAAAACTTGTGATTTCATTTTTTTCCCCAGTTCTTAATGTACTCAATCAACTAGGGAAGTACGATAATGTCTATTATTTTTAAGATTAAATGAACATTTTTACACGTATTCACCTGTGGTGTCTTGCCTTAAATCGTCCAAATGCAAAATTAAAATAAATTTAATATCAATTAAAATAAAGCATTTACTAAAGAGATGAAACATTTTGTTTAGCTGCATCTCATGTGATTCTTGGCGACATCAGAGAGCCGTGAACATGTGAATGTGTTGATAAATGATTCAAATATTAACTTTATAACTCATCCTGATGGCTCAGTGATGTCATCAGTATTTCGGCCTGTTTTCCTGAACGACTGTAGCTCTGCTGAAGGTTTATTGTCCCGTGTGGATTTCACAGGCTCTTTAATGAACTGATGCTCTGCTGAACGAGTGCGAATCAAACTCTTCTCCTCTTCCCGTCAGATACCAAACAATATCCAGCGTTCGTGGGACACAAACCGGGACGGAACAACACGCAGCGGCACAAACTGGACATTCAGCTGATCGTCATCATGAACCACACGCTCTATGTGGCCGCCAGGTGAGTTTGCTATTTAAAGATCGGTCCTGTGTTCAGCAGAGACTGGGAACGTGCAGATTGAGCAGATTGTTGGCATGGTAACCAGCAGCCCATTCACAGCATATGGACAAGAAGCAGCAGATGTTCAGAGTCAGAGAGCCAGCGGCCGTGAGAATCAGAGCTTTACACACATACTTGACAAGTTTTATGTTTATCTGGGTTTCTTAATATGCCCTTCCATGAATTAAGTCCTTAAATCAGAGCAGAAAATCTTAAAATCATAAAGTCGTGGCGTTAAATGTTGCATGAACTGCAAAGCATGAATATCTTCCGCAGTATTTCTGTCTTGTTTTCCAGAACAAATATCTAAACATCCTGAAATCAAGACACATTTAGTGCAGGTGCAGAATGAAGATATGAAGTCTTGTTTTCTGCGAAATTACATAAACTCATAGATATTTATAAAAATAAAATATATATACAAAAACACACAAAGAAATTACTTTTAACTCAAATTTAAATGAAAACGGAATATAAAAATAAAAACGAATAAAAATATTAATATTTTTTAATATTAAAAAATAAAAACTGTAATAGTATCTCTGATATAAATTAACACTGGTTAGAAGTTGTATTTTCAAAGTTTGTGAAAATGTGTTGCTTATTCAACTTAGAGAACATGTATTTATTTTGTTTTTTTTCATTAAGTGTCTTAAAAAGTCTTAAATTTACTTTCATAAATCCTGCAGAAAGCCTGATTTATGTTTCCACAAAAGGACCTTCTAAATTAAAATTATTACTTCTGTGTGAATGTTGTGTTTCTGCCACCTGAACTAATAATCGTAAGATCTCTTTATTAATTTAACAGTGCTTTAGCTCTTTTGGGTGTGTATGTGAATGATCTGAGATATTATTTCTCTTGATAAACATGGGCGTGTTCTTTGGCCAGAGATACAGAGCGTCACCCCTGATCACACTCTCCGCCCCCTCTCACTCTCCACTAATGAAAATGCTGGAGCTCTGATTGATTGGTTGCCCACTGCCGGTCAGATCTCTGATTACAAGCGGTTTGAAAGCTCTAGCGGTGGATCAGTGTTTTTCTGATGGTCAGATCACAGCTCTTTTGTTTTCTTCTCTGCAGTTTAGAGAAAACAATGTTTTCTGCTTTCAGCTCCAGGCTCTTCTGGGCTTTCCGGTGTTTTGTGGCTTTATTTAGGCCTGTAGTGACTGATGTGACTCAGCTCGGCTGTAAAAAGAGTTTTCTTTGGAGAGTTTGTTTGTTTTGTTTCTGGAAACCTCAGAGCAGCTCAACAAAATCTAGAGATGAAAGTACAGCAGGACAGAGAGAAAGAGGAAGGAAAGTTCTGATCAGTGACCGGTTGCAAAAGAAATTCAGTCAAATCGCTCTAATTTGAATCCAGAAAATAAGACTGATTAACTCTTAGCTAACTGCTAGTTAGTCAGACTAGTTCTTAAGACCGTGTCTGTTTGTGTAACTGGACCCTGGTGATGTGAATATAAAACACACGGTCAGAAACATTTAAATACAGGAGAGCTGATCTGATCTAAAGCTGCATGATCCACACTGATCTGCTGTGTATTAATTATGGATTTAGGCGATATTGAGCTGAAGTGTGTGTTGCAGTGGACGTGATATGAAGCTCACAAACAGGACAATAACGCTTTCTGAACAGCACTTCTTGTAGGATTGTGCTCTTAATTCCTCTGGTATCTATGCATCTGCATTTCACTCTTTGTAACTGATATGACATATAGATGTATTTGTCAAAGTCTGCTTTATTGTCAATTCTGCCACGTGTACAGCACATACATACAGAGAATTGAAACTGCGTTACTCTCAGACCCTTTGTGCATACAGTTAACTAACAGTAGAACGTGAAAATACAGATTAAATATATAAAATACAAACTATACTAATATGCAAATGAGGACATGTAAAACAAAGATAGAGTAGCACAAGGCAGATAGAGTGCAAACCAGTGAAATAAACAGTGCAGATATAATGAGTGTAGTGCAAAAAGAGCTTATCAGTCCATTTAAAGTGACAAAGCGCTAGAGAGCAGTCTTTATTTAAAGTGCATTTATGTATGTATTTTAATATATGTTGTTATTATTGTTGATGAGCTCACCAAGCAAATTCTGAACGACTAGGTTATGTCAATCAATCAATCAATCAATCAATCAATCAATCAATCAATCGTCATGTGACTTTGCGCTATGAGACAGGATAACTTGACAACTTGGCGGACCGATCTCGTTGCACAGCGTCTGAAATGTTGTTCTGGCCGTTCTGAAATGCATGAGCAAAATCTGTCATCAAAGTATTTCTGTATAATTGTCTTACACGACTGCGTTCCCAAACAGCAATAATCCACCTCCGAAAGCTCGTCTGCTCGCTCTTGAGCCGCAAGTCATTTAATCAATCAATCAATCAATCAATCAATCAATCAATCAATCAATCAATCGTCATGTGACTTTGCGCTATGAGACAGGATAACTTGACTAACCAGCGGACCGATCTCGTTGCACAGCGTCTGAAATGTTGTTCTGGCCGTTCTGAAATGCATGAGCAAAATCTGTCATCAAAGTATTTCTGTATAATTGTCTTACACGACTGCGTTCCCAAACAGCAATAATCCACCTCCGAAAGCTCGTCTGCTCGCTCTTGAGCCGCAAGTCATTTATTATATATGAAAATTATTATATTCAGTGGCTTCTTCTAGTTTTCTTAGTGATATATAGTGCCCGTTTATCAGGAAATGATGATTTTGTTCTCTTTGACTCGTTGGATGGAAACGGTGCTTTATTCGCAAATGTTTTATGCGATATTCCAGTTTTGCACAATTCAAATCTTTGGATGGAAGCACAGCTAGTGTGTGATGTGAAGCATCTCTCACACACTCTCTCTCTCTCTCTCTCACCCACACCCTCACACACTCACTCTCATACACACACACACACACACACACACACACACACTCTCTCTCTCTCACACACACACACACACACACACACACACACTCTCTCTCTCACACACACTCACAGCTGAGCTCTGGGTCTGGAGGTGCTCATGGGACATTGTCTACATTCCTCACGCTGCGGCTGAGGTCCCTTAACAACCCAAAGCCCCCCGTCATGAGAACAGAGAAACACTGCTCCACTGACCCCAGAACAGCTGAGAAACTCCAGAAGGTTCTAGAGCCGCGTTTGAGGCCTCATGTGTGATGGAGGGCGGAGCTTCGGTGGAGGATTGACAGGTGTGAGATGCATACTAATGAGCTCCTTTCTCTGCGAACACAGAGTGAGAGATTTTGACAAAAGGCCACCAGATGGACGTGGCCGGCCGCATGAGAAGCACATTCCTGCACACAAAGAGCCTCTGTTAAACTCGATCGGCACAAACCTGCACTCAGTAAAACACATCAAACGTGAGAGGAGTTGTGTGTTCAGTTCGTTTACACCCACACCCTCACACACTCTCTCTCTCTCACACACACACAGCTGAGCTCTGGGTCTGGAGGTGCTCATGGGACATTGTCTACATTCCTCACGCTGCGGCTGAGGTCCCTTAACAACCCAAAGCCCCCCGTCATGAGAACAGAGAAACACTGCTCCACTGACCCCAGAACAGCTGAGAAACTCCAGAAGGTTCTAGAGCCGCGTTTGAGGCCTCATGTGTGATGGAGGGCGGAGCTTCGGTGGAGGATTGACAGGTGTGAGATGCATACTAATGAGCTCCTTTCTCTGCGAACACAGAGTGAGAGATTTTGACAAAAGGCCACCAGATGGACGTGGCCGGCCGCATGAGAAGCACATTCCTGCACACAAAGAGCCTCTGTTAAACTCGATCGGCACAAACCTGCACTCAGTAAAACACATCAAACGTGAGAGGAGTTGTGTGTTCAGTTCGTTTTTAGCAGATACGCATACTTGAATGCGATGGATTATTCACTTTCTTTCCTTTGGAGAAACCTGGAGAAATCTGGAGCTTCGTGTCTAATCAGATGAAGTCTAGTCAGTCGTGTGTATTTCTATAGCGCTTTATACAATACAGATTGACAGAGATACACAGGAAAATAACAGAATCGATTATGGAAACTCGTAGGGCTTGAAATTGGTCATTGTAACAGAATTACAACAAAATGTTCTATGGCGCCGCAGTCCAGTCAGCAACGACAACCAACGGCAAAAACAGTGAAAACAACACATTTCAATCATTTAAATCCAAATCTGCATGATAAATCACATTTTAATTGTGATCATGGTTTCTGCTTCTTTGGAAGAACCTTTAACTCTAATATAAAAATGGAAGAACCTGACTTTATCCAGTGTTCAGATTTATGTGCTGGAAATTTGTGCAAATGAGTGCATATTAGATCAATTAGATATTGCCTCGTTTGCATGTTTAAAATTAACATTTCAATATCAAGTCGACAATATCGCTGGATGTTAAGTGTCCCCAACTAAGCAAGCCAGAGGAACCAGAACTCCATCAGTCGCATTGTCTTTATTAAAGAAAGAGAATAATTATCTTTCTGATGGCGCTGTGATTAATTACTGGGCTTTTCATAAGGTTTGAGGAGTTTCTCTGGTCTTGAGATCGCTGCTCCGCTGGTGACCCGCGCGACAGAATTCATTTCACAAATGGCTTTTCTATTAGATTGAGCGAAGAGGAAGATTCGATTGAATTAAGCTCCAGTCTGAACGCTGGATCAGATTCAAAACATGTTCCGGTCGCATGAGAACAGAACAGAAGAAATTAGCAGAACATACAAGAGAAGTTAAACTAGAATTTACAATTCATCAGCTAAAATGGAATGTTCTTCTATCCTTGTCCATATATTTGTTTATACTATTTAATTTTGTTTATGTTTTTTCAAGTGTATATCATTTTATTTTTATTTTTTTTACAACTTATGCACAGTGTTTATATCTGGGGTTTTTTTTCATTAAAAATACTTAAATGGAACCAGCTACTTCAATCAGAATCCTATAGATTGTTACCAATCGAATGTGATCAACATTAACAAAACCGCTTATAATGCAGTGTTTACATAAAAACAGGAGCTCGTTACAGGGCTGCAGCGTTGTGACAAAAATCCTCATTGCTGATGAATGCTTTTGATATTGTAATAGTGATTATTAATGTGGACAGTCTGTGATACTGAAGCTGGAGACGAATGAACGTGTGAATGTCTTCACAGGGATCACATTTACACGGTGGACATCGAGACGGCCAATACAGAGGAGATCTTCTTCAGTAAGGTGAGTCTGAGGATAGAGTTCTGTCTCTCTCTCGAAGAGCTTCATCCCATCAGGAGCCGCTGTCACGTGGCATGTGCGTGCCAAACCGGCTGATTAATGGGGATGGATCAGAGCGACGTGTAGTTTAAGAGCTGTAATTGAGTCCAATCTATCGATCTGACATTGATTTGCTGTCCGCAGAAGCTGACGTGGAAGTCCAGACAGGCCGATGTGGACACCTGCAGGATGAAGGGAAAGCACAAGGTACAGCTGATGATGTCATAGATGAGTGATGATGTCACGGATCACACAGCTCCGCTTCTGAAAGGCCTAATATTAGGAAATTTGATGATGTGGAGAAACTTTCCATGTATAGTTTTTCAACCAAAATAAAAGTGCATTAAAGCTGATATGTATCCGCTTTAATGCACTTAAGAAAATCGCAAAAGCAGCAAAATGACAAAAAATTTAATTTGAATGTGCACGCTGCAAAGGAGTAGGACATACTCCATTAAAGAACTTTACATAAACACAGGTTTATAAATAAATAAGCTTTTTTCCACAAGATCTGTGATTATCTGTGGCTGTTTGGATGCACTACAAGCAGAGAAAATCTGGCTCATGTTTGCAAAAAAGGCCTAATATTACCTGATTCGAGTTCAAAAATATCAATTAAAAAAATGTCCATGTGCAGTTTTTTTCTCTAAATGAGAATGCAGATTTTTCAAATTATGTACATGTACTGTATCAGCTTTAATAACTTATCAAAGCAAAAAGTAAGATGTCAGTTTTAATGATGAAGAAGCATTCAAAATGTGCAGAAAAATGTTTAAATACTCAATTTAAT